CTGCGTCGCGATGGAGCCTGCGATGGATAAGTTAGATATTCATTCAACTTCGGAAGCTTTTGAGGATTATTTGGAAAAGTTTGAAATCTGGAGCATGACTAAGAAAGATGTTAAAAGTGATAAAATTGTGGCACATATCCTGACATTCATTGGGAGAGAAACGTATAGCTTATTAAAAACTTTGGCACATCCAGAAATACCTATCTCACTCCCTTATGCAACTCTTAAAGAGGTATTATTAAGTCATGTAAAATGCACCAGTTTTGAATGCCGTGAAAGGGCTAAGTTTCATAAGATGGTCCGTCAAAATGACCAAAACTTTCGGGAAATCATCCTTGAATTGCAAAAACAAGCTGTCAAGTGTAATTTCGGTGATCAACTTCATGTGCAACTGAGAGATCGATTAATTGCAGGAATTAACATACCGGGTTTGGAAAGAGAACTGTTTAGAATGCCAAACTGTTCCTTTCAAGATGCTTGAACTGCGTGTATTAACTACGAGGCAGTGAATGAACTTGATATCCAGTCGATGAACATTTCTAATACTCTGCTTAGTCGTCATGATGAACTACAATCTCAGGGTCAATCAAACTTGCGTTCGTTTAACAGTGATTCCTATTCTTGTGTAAATATGAAAGGTGTTTCAACAAGTAATTACAAAGCAAATCACAAAGGTGAGATGAAGTTCGGTAAATGTTTATTATGTGGAAAGTTTCATTCTCGTAATTCATGTTCATTTTATAGTGCTAAATGTCTTAAACGTGGTAAGATAGGACACATTCAGTCAGTATGCAAAACTACTGTCCATTTTGCTTCAAGTAGTACTAAATCTTGTAATTTAAATCTCAATGATTCGAATGTTTCTAGTGATCATTTATCTTTGTCTACTATTTCGAAAGGTAATGCTCATATTCAAAAGTGACTATATACATTGCTTGGTTCATTTCATGACTTTATTGTGGACACAGGCAGTATAGAGTCCATTATTTCATTCAAGAACTTGAAATCTTTAGATCCTAACGTTGTGATACGACCCACTGAAGTATCAATATTGGGGATTACTGGACACATACTGCCCATACGAGGATGTTGTGAATTGCTAATAAGAGATGATAATTTTTCATACATACCTTGTGAATTTTTAGTTAGCGAAACAGGACTGTCAATACTGGGTTTAAAGAATTTGAAAAGGCTTAAGGTGGAGCTGTCCTTCCTAGTTTCTAAAGAAAATTCCGATACTTTACTTAAAGATTTGATAGCTATGTATGCCAAGTGCAGTGGAGGTATGAAAATTCAGCCTATAAAACTTCAAGTACAGGGTGATCCAGTCTTTCTTAAAAGACGAATAATTCCTTATGGTCTTCGAGAAGCAGTATACAAAACATTAAACGATTTGTGTGCGAAAGGCATAATTGAATCAATTCAGTCTTCAGCATGGGGTACTCCTATCGTTACGCTGTAACAGCTTAGGTTGGTTGGTTAAGAGTTGACCCCAAACAACCAAGCATATGCCAAAACAGTATTGTTCAAGTGTTCACTCACTTCCTTGTTTTGTATAAGCGTTATATTCCCTAGTATCTTATATTGAATGTTGAGAGCCTTTGTTTGTCTGAACAGGTAATCGCACGCTCCACTGTTACCGCGCTGAGATCGAAATAAAGACCTATTCACTACTTCTCTGGTTTCTTCTATCAATAGCACGAGGGTTACTTTAAGGCACGAAAACGCCACTGAAGTCGAACGGCAAGACCCCTAGAATTTGTGGTGAATATAGATTAACTCTGAATTCTCGTTTGTTGAAGCAAACGTGCACGACGGTAGAGGCTGAAGATATTCTAAATCGACTTCATGGTTCTGAAGTGTTCTCGAAAGTTGACCTAAAAGATGCTTATCTTCAAATTCCTTTAGATCAATGTTCATCTATTTTGACGACAATTAACACTCCCTTTGGTCTGTTCAAATACGATTTCCTTCCATTTGGTCTAAGTTGTTCTCCAGCCATATTTCAGGAAGTTATGAATAAAGTAGTTAGTGATCTTGGTGTTGAAGTTTATCAAGATGATCTCATTGTTCACGGTTCTAATAAGGTAGTTCATGACCAGAGACTTATTGCTTTATTGCGTCGTTTAACTGAGAAGAATATTACAGTGAATCCAAATAAGTGTTCATTTTTTGTATCTAGTTTTGAATGCCTTGGATATCTAGTTGATGGTAATGGTTTTAGACCAGATATGAAACGGCTAGCTTCACTGACAAATGAACCGTCTCCAAAAAATCTTACGGAACTACGTTCACTAGTGGGTGCTCTTCAATACTATTCCCGTTTTATTCCTAATTTTTATTATCGTGCAAATTGTTTATTGAATATTTTGACATCCAATTCATTCAAATGGAGTGAGGAACAAGAGTTATGCTTACGAAGTCTACTGAAGTTTCTTCAAAGTGATGCTGTTCTTCGAATCTACTCCCCTAGTGTACATTCTGTGCTTACTACTGATGCATGACCTGTGGGTATTGACGCAGTTTGGGAGCAGGAAGGTAGACCAGTTATTTGTGTTTCACGCAAACTTACTGTTACTGAACAAGGTTATTCACAGACTCAGCGAGAAGCATTAGCTGTGTTTTGGGCTGTTAAAAGACTTCACAAATATTTATTCGGAAAGAAATTCACTATTGTTACTGATCATGAAGCTTTAAGGTTTATTTATCATCTTGAAAAATTCTTAGTACGTTCCTCAGCTGCTATGGTACAATGATAGAGTATTGCTTTGAGTGCATATGACTATACGGTTCAGCACAGAAGTGCTAAACAAATTCAACACGTTGACTACATTTCTCGACAATCATTACAAGACAGACCTGTTAATACTCCAGACTGTTTGTTAGTGCAACCTTTAACAGTGAGACGTTCAGATCTTATGAGAGAAACGCGTAGATATTTTGGATGTATACTCAGTGCTATAAGGAAAGGTTGGAATGCTAATTTGAAACGTAGATTTCCTATCTATTTTTCAAAGCGGGATGAGCCATCTACTACTCCTGATGGTATTCTGTGTTTAAATGATCGTGTTGTCATTCCTCCTTCAGTGCGTAAATCTGTTCTTGAAGATCTTCATAGTGGTCATTTAAGTGTTGAGAAAATGAAGTCCTTGACAAGGCCCACATGTTGGTGGCCACAGATAAATACAGATATATGTCATCAGTTGAAAAATCATCCTTGGAAGTAGATGCCATGGCCAGTATCGTCTGAGGTCTGGCAGAGAATTCATGCTGACTATTGCGGCCCGTTTCTTGGTAAAAACTATGCACTAGTAATTATTGATTATTTTTCAAAGTGGCTCAAAGTTTTATTCACAACTCCACCAAATTCTGATTTCACAATCCAAGCATTAAGGAAGGTGTTTAGTCGAGAAGGGGTTCCTATGGTGTTAGTGACTGAGAATGGCTCTCACTTTGCTGCAGATGCAGTCACTACCTGGTTGAACGGTATAGGGTGCAGACATCTGTTTACTGCTCCCAGACATCCGTGTTCTAATGGTCAGGCAGAGAATTTTGTCAGGACATTAAAGACTGCTATTGATTCTTTAGCCGCCTCAACATTTAATGAGCTGTAGAGGGGAGTAGATACCTTTCTATTGCAATATAGAAATGCCAGACATTCGGTGACTAAGGAGACTCCAGTGAAACTATTGAAAGGAAGAATTCTTCGGTCGAATATGAGATGTTTGGAGTCTGCAGAAGTTACATACTATCGAGGAAATGATCTTCGACCATCTACGGGTATTGTTCTGAAGAATGTCGGAAAAGCGGTGGTGCGAGTTCTAGACATCAACGACTTAAGTACACACAGTCAACATGTTGATCAAATACAATTTCAGGAACCAGGTGAGTCAGTTCCAATTCCGGTTGTTAATTCTAATGCTAATGAGCACACTCTAGATAATACAGAATCCTTATCCAATACAATGTCGGACAGACTCAGGATGAATTTGAGGAGAAGACGTACGATTGATTACAAACACCTAAACTCCGATTTAAACTGTGGCGGATATGGTGTTTGAATGAACTAATGATACCTTTGTACTTGTTGAATGCTGGATTTTGAATTCCAAATACAATACATTCGTTTGTGCTTGTGTCGTAGTTCTTAGTTCAATTGCGTTAATTCTGGGATTCCTAGTTTATACGATAATTCAAATACGTGTGAATATTATTTGCACCCACTTCAGCCAAGCCGATATAGTGAAAGGAAAACTATCGAGTTTCACCATAACCAAATACATTTATGAAGCAATAACTTCTTAACTCCATTCACAAAGGACGTTACTCTCTTTTAAGGCAGTGCGACCAGAAATTAAGCTCTATCAAACGTGGATGGAGAAAGAACGTCCAATTAGTTTACTGGAGAAAGTTTAAAAGGAAAAGACTGGAATGTATCACAGATGAAGTTTATTCAAAAATCATATCGAAGTTATCGTACACATTGAATAGTACTGTAACAGTAAATAAATGCCAAAAATAAATAGCTCTGTAAGTCTTCGACATTGGATGCTGAACACATTAGTCTTAATGAACTCACCTAGCTGAAGGCGCTCGGTCATGCATCCGCACCAGATCACGAGTAGGAACGCCGTGCTCAACAACCCCTGCAATCGCTAGACAGATTAGATCAGACGATCCTCGATATATTGATAGCCTATCAAATATATCTTCGAACCTCATCGCTTCTGACTTTTGATTTCACTTGGTGGGTACGATTCATAGTAGAAGGTGTTACTGGTTAAAGCGTTGTCAAACTCCGAATACCTGTAACATCTTCAGTACACGAAAAACCTTGCAAAGAAACCTATGCCAACAGTTTCATGATTAGAATCTGTAGGTTTTGAGAATCTTTGTTAGAAGTAAGAGAACGTGCACTTTCTGAAACTTAATCACTCATCCATCCGATAAATAATTTTTAACCTCTAGATTCAAGAACAATCAGATGAAGAATAAACCTCTGCGTAATCGCTCTCTCTCTTGTACTTTTCGATTTCAGGACCCAAGGAATAAACAGTTTTTTCACACTTCAGTAAAGCTTCGTGTTTGAATAGTCAAAGTAACGATTTTTTCTCTCGCAGATTAGGGAGGGTTTTCCAAACCTGTGTGAGTTGTTAAAGTGGTGGCAGTTTGCGCGTCCATCGATTAAAGTCGCTGTTGGATGGTCTGTACCACGAATAACGGAAATCATTCTAAATCTTTATCATGAAGCTGGATCAAACAAGTGATGAGTCGTCTAATACGTTCCTGTCGAAGGTTTGTCGCCCGGTCACTGTGGTTAGTTAACGTTGAAGTACATTATCCTTAATATCATTTGTCAGATGCACCAAACCATAGTTGATAAGCTCTATCCGTATAGGATAACTAGATGGCTATTTGCACTGCTGTTATTTGCTATTTACGTGCTCCGGATAGCATCTATCCAGGTGCGTCGATTTATGTTACATAATGTTTATATTCAGGGCTTCCATATCGTTAGCTATACTCTCGCAATATATTTATTAAGTTTATTCATATCATTTATTTCTCCAAAAGTAGATCCTGCTGCTGCAGATTATTCGGGTAAGTGCATGCTATTCATATTCCTAAATGGCTACTAGATGAAATCCCTACACTTCCACGAACTGTAGGTGAAGAGTTCAGACCATTTATACCAAGATTACTTGAATCAAAATTCTGGTAAGACTCTGCTTCCTAACTTTTTTGTGGTAGGTTATATGTATTTCGAACGTTAGTTTTATATCTTAAATTATCCAAACACGCCATACGTATTAGTGATACGTAAAACAGTTCAGAAACGTAATTCACATGACCACTACCTTAATTGACTATAATTTAGCAAAATTTTCGTAGTATTTTGTTTCGCAAAAGAATACTTCCATTATTCAGTGGTGGATATATATGTATCGTGCTACTCTTTTCCGTTGATCATGATTATTTCAGCATCATTCTGAGAAGGTTGAAATGCTGCTGTTAGTTTTGCCATTAAGAATCTCAGCTGATCTAATTTCGTCGCTAGTTTTGTAGTGTTTTACTGTGGTGGACTACGTTTCTCATTATTGTCAACATCCATATCGTGGATCAACATATTGCTGCAAACATCATCTGCAACTGAAAACCAGTTTTGAATAAAGTCCCATCCAGCGAATTCGACGGAGATCTAATGCCAAGAAAAGTCTATCCCTGTCGGTTCGGAGTGCATGTGGCGATTTCCGAAGGCTTGGTAGGTTATTATGACACCAAAGCATCTAGCGAGTCGCTTGATATAAGGACAGTCAATATTTAGTATGTAGCATTGGTACAAAAGGCGCCAAAACATATGCACCACAAAAATCACTTGGCATGAGGGCTGGAATACTGCTCGGGCACCCAAGCTAAAGCAGACGGTTTTCTTGCCCCCAAATGCCCTGGTGTGGCCGAGAGTGGGGTTGACCCGCCCTTCCTCTCAAAATGATTTCACACGGCCGCGCGTATACGGCCTCTGCCAGGGAAGTCCTGCTCACTGCCTTCTCGTGGCGGGGGTGTTGTTCACGAAAGTGAGGGAACAAAAAGCGAATGTCCGGCGCTTTATCCGGATCCCCAACCAATGGTGCACATGGGTTCCAGTATCCTGCGGAAACAAATGGCGTACGAACCAGTCGTTGGTCACCGGCTACCATGAGACTATTTCTCCTCACGATGCTCCATTACCTTGTGTGTCAGACCTTTAGGCCAAACGCTCGGGATGTGGCCCCCTAAGAAAACCACCTGTTTCGGTTTGGGTACCCGAACAGTATCACAGCCAACATACAAATAAATTGAAATGACGATATTTATTGAAAATTCTATTCTCGCTTCGATTTACAGTCAAACGATTCACATTATTATTGTTATTTACTACGTCATTTACTCACTCTCTTTTATTCCCTATTTTTCGACTTATACAGCAGCTCGCCTATGGTGGGAACTCGGTTCTATCTGAACGTTCTCGATTGACTGCCCGGTTGAAAATTGTATGCTAACACCAAATACGAATACTGAGGCAGTTTTTCTGAAACCACGTGCACCATTCAAACTGGCTGCCTTCAACGTTCGCGCACTTATGCAGGTCGGACAACAGATGGGGCTGACTATGTCTTTGGAGTCTTAATATCGACGTTTGTTGTCTATCCGAGACCCGTATTCAAGACTCTGATGAAGTACTACAAGTTCGCTCTCCATCTGTCGCTTCAAAAAACTTGTTTTATGTGCGTTTGTCCGGGGACCCTGTGGCATCTTCGTCTGGTCTTGCTGGCGTTGGTGTCGCACTAAGAGCTAGAGCTGAGGCAGCACCAATCGATTAGATCCCCATCAACAGTCGGCTATGTGCTGTTAGATTAGAAAGTTCCACCAAAGTGAGAAGAAATCGGCGTGAGAAACGATGTCTTTTCGTCATCTCCGCCTATGCCCCGACAGATTGCAGCCCGGATGCAATCAAGTATGAATTCTACCATCAGTTAACTGTTCTTCTCCAGGAAGTGCGTTCGACAGATATTGTAGTACTAGCCGGAGACTTGAGTGCTCAAGTCGGGCGTTTAGACACAGAAGAGAATCGTTTGGGTGGCCTATGGGGACTTGCTGGTCACAGGACAGATAACAGAGACCGTCTACTGTAACTGTGCACAGACTACAACCTGTTTCTGGCTAGCACTAACTTTCGGCACAGTCATCGCCGATGTGCCACCTGGCGTCCTCCCTCTGCATCTCAAGCCTGGACTCAGATTGATCACATCGCGATCAGCTACCGCTGGCGTGGTTGTGTACAAGACTGCCGCTCCTTTTGGAGTACCTATCTGGATTCTGACCATGCTTTGGTTTGCGCCAATCTTACCTTACTTTTCAGTGGTCAACGAAGTCACCGCCACCAACGGATTGATGTTAGCAAGCTAGTTGCAACTTCTGTTGCTAGTAAGTATCGAACCGAGCTAGTTTCTAGGCTAGCTACCATTCCACCGACAAGTATAGATGAGCATTGGTTGCAATTGCATGACGCCATGAAAATGGCGGGTACAGTCAGTTGTGGGTTCGCGAAACGTCCCGCTTATAAGCACTGGGTTTCTTCAGGTTCCTTACTTTGATTAACCAAAGTGAAACCCTATCAAGTCATAAACTCACTGACATCTATTTTTACTTATGTCTTGGTTTTGACTGGTAAAGTCTGTAGTTGTAATCCAACCATACATTTCCTTTATTATCTGAAGATCTTGTTTATTGTTTTCGATTGTTTGTTTTAAGTTACTTGGTTTTGTCATTAACTCACTAGGTTTCTCTTCTATTATGCTAATGATAATTGTAATAGCCGAGTATGTAGTCACAACAATTCCTACATTGCTTCCATTTAAGTTGATTGCCTTCATTCCAAACTAGCTCTATTTGGAGAGTGTGTTAAAAATCACTTTAAAGATACCCAACATATAAACCCATCATTCTCATTCGTGTTAGTAAACGACTGCATTTCCTAATACATTACAGGCTCTCCACCGTCCGTGCCGTTGCAATCAGTATATTTTGCACATATCTTCCATTCTTGGATATTCCAGTATTTTGGCCGATACTAGTAATGTATTTTATAATGTTGTTTGCTATTATGATGAAGAAGCAAATTAAGGTTTGTTTTATCACTTTTTATGATATTTACCTATGTGCAGTTAATATTGCCTATTTGTTTAATCTACTGTTCGTCCTATCAGTTTGTTTTAAGTTTTATAACTCCATTGAGTTTCACGTGGAAAACTTCAGATATCAAATGCTAACTTTTCGTTACCTTTTATTATATTGTTAGGTGCGATATTCAGGTTTTGTAGATCAGTTCACGTACTGTAGCAATGACTATTTTACCCTCAGGTTTCACAGAAGAATATATACATATGTGTTTGTTGATAATGTTCCATAGTATTGTTCTATTCACATATTGAAAAGCTTTTCAAACCCTGATTATTTAAGAAAGACCATTTATCCCCCCATTTCTTGATAACTTAACGAGTTAAAAGTTCGAGTAGCCGGATTACAGTTTCACTCCGTGTGATGGTTAGTAATGCTACCCGACCTTCGAAATTGAAGTAGATAGATTGAAGTTTAAACCTGAGACCTGATGGTTAGAATTTGGTTACTGTGGTTATAGAGCCACCATTTCAATCTGCTGTTTGTTATTTCATTTCAGCCACTCACTTCTAGTCATCATAGAACCTGGCACAAATGTACATTTCCCTAAGCTGCCACACTACTTCAATATAGCAAAATAAAATTAATAATTGGTGAATGGGTAGTGTTAGTATTAATGATAAAATAATTAAATATGGTTCTAAGAAAAGAAACAAAATGAGAAAATTAAAAGTATTCACTGATATTGAGAATATTCAAACGAAATCAATGAATAGACCTTTATCCTCTATATACTATGATACAATCAGGTCACTCAAAATTAAAACTGAATCAGTACACCAGTATCCAACATATAAATAAAAACACTACCTCAGGTACTCTATTGTCAGTTAGTACCTGTTGTATGCTTCAGTTAATTCATTCGGACAATTGGTTCACAAAATGAGATGTCAAATTATTGTGTGACTGCATTTAACGACAGTCAAATTCAACTACGGATGGCTACGTTAATTGTAACATTTAAAAGGTACTGACAACTTGCTCTTGTTCTTCTCTGTCAAATACATCATTCAGTCCGTCATTATTTATTCCATTGCTTCATAAATATGTAACATTTAATCATTTCTGTTGCTTGTTTGACTTTTTTTTCTTTTGCACGATACAGCATATGATCAAATATCGCTACGTTCCATTTACTTATGGGAAACCGAGACCTGTCGGATCAAACAATAAGGAACAAGCATCTCCTGTGATTAACTCATGACATATAATTATAAATAAGTTGTCTTCTTATCTCTCTAAATCACTGTGCTTCTTCGTCTTTTGTTCATTTTCGGTATCTGTACATAGTTGTTTTGATCTTATCTTTGCCTGTATATGGAGTTTTGATTGTATTTTTATGCTTTAAAAGAGGATATTGATTACTGAAAACTAAATTGTCTTTGTTCTAAATCACGTAGTTTGTATATTTCTTTTTGTCGTTGAAAAATCTCTTGTTCTTTTCTTGAATAAATTTTAAAGCACAAATCCAGATATTTTCATTGTACATAGGTATGTACGGTAACTTCGGGAACTGATATTATGATACCTTTGTTTTACACATTTCAAGATACTTTACTCCTATCTTTTAAATACCCTCTATTTATTGCAATATACTTGTTCCATCTCTTCCTCCATTGTTCTAAACATCTTTTGTGATTCTCAAAAGTCAAACCCTTCCAGCTATCTCCTTTTCTGTTTTATTTTCTTTACATCGTTTTCATTCCCAAGTTTTCACAGTCGTCTTGGATTTCAGGAATAAAAGCCCTAAGTCTAGTGAATAGAGTGATCGAAATATGTGATGGGAACTTACGGTCAGTCACTGCTGATTGTCACGACAAGTGGCCGTATTACTGGTGTCCATCAGGATCAGATAAATTACGAATATTCTTCTTAGCATTTCATTTCCTGCTTTCCGTTCCTTGTCTTGTGACTTCAGTTTGATGCCGTATTTCGAGGTTCGTTATTAGTTATGTCCATAAATAACAATCTTAGTAACTTTATTCATATATTCATCGGATAGACTATACGTCCCATCAGTTTAACCAGTTCAGATTAAGATTCATTTCACTACTGATAAGTTAATTGTGCAGAGATGGTACTAATTCGTGATTGTTACCGTTTAAGTTCGTACATTACTGTACATTGGTTACACCATTTTCTTGTAATGTGACAGTCATTTTGTTATTGGGCATCAACGTCTTTCTGTATCTATGCTTTGATTATATAACTCGTAGTTAGCCTCGAAACTAAGCTGCTAGCTGGCTTAATGGAATCACGTTATTGACATGGTCCTGAAATCGTGTCTCAAGTTGAATTCCACTCAGTCACATATCGTTATACCATGATCATGATTGGTCACAATTCAGTACTACTCGGCTTCTGGAGATCTCCCGAAAAAACAAGTATGTGAAGTCTCCGCATCCAATTATACCGAATCGTCCCTCAGTTGAGTTACCTTTTTGTAGCTAATGCATACAGCAAGTGGCCATAAATTTTTCTCATGGAACGGCCTGTAAGCTTCGCAGTCAAAAGGCCAAGTTAACCTGTTCAGTCGTTTCGTGGTTCCAGAATTAATAACTAGCGACAATCGAACACAGTTTACGCCTACTACTTCAGGATTTTGTCGGGTGGATGGAATCACTCATCTCTAAACATTCCCATCCCCAATCCAATGGCCAAGTTGAATGCTTTGTTAGTAGATTTAAAGATGCTCCGGATAAATCAAGAGATTTTAGAGAGGTTCTTACTTATCTTTCGTTCTACACCAAATCTTCAAACGATCAACAGGGTCTCTCCAATAGAAGCTTTACTCAGGAGAAGAACACGAACACGTTCGTCTGATACCAGCTCTTGAGCCTCAACGGAACGGATCGATGGGGATCCGATTCCATCGACATCATGAGGTACAAAGATTATTATTCGCTGTCGGTCAAAAAGTACTTGCTATGGATTATCGCTGCGCACATCCTACATGGACAGCTGGTCGAATCTTGCAAAAGAAATGTAATGTTGTTTACGAAGTCTCAGTTGACTCAGAAGTTTCAGTTCGTCATACTGACCAACGAAAAGCAACGGGATCCGGCATAGAATACTTCCCGGCTGGTCATCTCTTAGCCAACCAGCGGTAGCGGATACTTGGAGAAGACTAAAATCTTGTGTAAAAGTTATAAATATACTAGCGTTTTTATTGTAATTCGTACTTCTATTCAACCTTTATTTGGAGTATAATTACGTTCTTGTTCAACTGTGTTCTGATTTGGGGACTTGTCGAGTGTAGTAAACTGTCCAAAGAATACTAAGCATTAAGAGTAACTGATTCGTAATAAGAGATCATAACAGCAGGCTTGCCATACTTTCCTACTGTATGTCAGTATCATATTTTATCCTGGTTGCGTGTTAACCATTACGTCCAGTAGTTAACATCCAAAGGATAAAATATTGGTGAATTTTATTCCACTCTGTTGAACTTTTTAGTAGGACTTGCCAATCAATATCAGTTGTAGTTTGGTAATATTTTTTTGTACGATTGTTATATACCTTCCTGAACAAAAATTATGCGTAAATGTTGTGGTTTTTGAAAATAATTTGGAGCGGTTGCTCAGTACTTAAGGCGTTTGACTTATATAATCTGACCATAAGACTTCGCAATGTTGATTGTTCCCTCATTGATTTCTTGGATTGTAGTTAGTCTCACTATTTGTACTTAGATCCATTATCGTTCTCAACCAATAGATCTATCTAGAAAAGTCCGGTCTAGTGGCATTTATGGTCATTTAATCTAGTAAGATAATTTCAGAGTAACATTTGTGTTCGTATCTTACGGCTTGGATGCTAATATATTTTCTTGTGAGACCATTATCGAATTTTAACATTTTACAACTATCAGGTTTTGCAGATTTTATTTTGTTTTAGGGTAGTGATACTTAACTATCCTCAATGATATAACGGCTGTTCATCTTTATTTTTGCGGTTAGTTTGTTATCTCAAGAATACTAAACTACATTGGTGTAAATAAAACTACTCAGCCTAATTATGCTTTACGTGATTAGTTTACTTTTTTAATTAGGCAATGTATACTAATGAAGTTTATTGATAAAGGAAATAAGCGTCACTCACCTACACTGTTGCCCCTCGTGAGCCATGGGCCGTGGACCAGGGACCTCCCTCCTAGTTTTTAATAAGTGCTATTTATTATCTTGATGTCTGCTTCCGATTCCCAATGCAATATGTTCCTTGAGATGCTTTATCTTTTGCCATAAGGATCCCGAGTTAACGCTTTGTAACACAGCCCAATGATTTCCGTAATATTTGAGCTATCCACATCCAGTGTCTTTTCCAAATTTCCTTATCAACCGGAAGTTGGTTTGTTCGTCCCCAGAGCAGGGTTCTGCCCGTAGTCCTCCCAAACCCAAAAGAGGGTTAGACATGTAGTTAGTAATGACATCCCGTGGAAAATAATGCTAGAGGATCTAATTTGTTAGTATCAAGTTTAAAATAATGGTTTGTCTTTGAAATAATTAGTTATATCAACCATCATTTGATAACTGGAGTCCAACGTAGTGTGGGAAGGCCTAAAAGGATGTTATAAGACTATGATAATCTTCAATCAAAAGCTGTGGCCAATAAAGCAGAACAGACGGCGGAGATAGCGTTTTATATTTTCAACAACCGCGGTAGTATATATATATATATATATATATATATATATATGTAAATAATCAAACAATTTTATCCGTTTCTTTACCATTGATACAAAGAAACGATAGATATTGAATATAAATGTGGTTACATATAAAGTGTGACAAATAAGAAAAAACGGTTTTTACTTTGTCCTTACAAAAATCACTGAATGTACATGTCACAATAATCTATACCACTGTACTTTTATTATTGTTTCGCTTGTATGAACATGTATGCTTGAGTATTGCTTACCGCTTACGCACATATTCATCCTGCTAGCTTTAATGTTAGTCGCTTAATTGATATGACGATACATTCATTTCTCTATGTATATATGTACATTTTAATCCTGTTCCTTCAACCTGATCTACACAACCAAAGGAGTTAGACAGAATAGAGGTCGAATAAAAAACTTATGTACTAGTGAGGCATTGACAATCCACTAATTCAAGTCTGAACTCTGCGTGCAAACTTCATACGTCTAATCTCTCATCCTTCCTTGGCCCTAATTTCCTTCAGTAGTATATTTTGGTTTTTTTAAATAAATGTTTCGTAATTTTAAACCGTCATCAGTTATTATTACCTTTAAACAGTTTTTCATGATTGTTATTCAGCTTTTATTATTATGATACTTATGTTTGTCGTTTTTCTTCATAACTGTCAAGTGGACAATCATTTTTCGTAATTTTGACCAGTAAAATAATTTCCATCCTTATTTTCTTTTCTGAATTCTCTTTTTTACCCAGTGACACAATGCGTTATTTTAACTATCCCACTTACATAAGAAATTAATCCTATTAATATTACCAATCCACGATACTGCGCGACCACTCATGATCTCAACCAAAACTCAACGATCTCCACAGTCCTATACTGATAATTATCATGTGCTCACTAGTGTCTAGGTTAAAGATGGATTTCCTAGAGTTCTAGTGATGAGCCGTGACCAGTGCAGTTCAACGTGTCTGGTGTGAAACAGTTACTCACTGGAAACAATAGAGGATGGTCGTGTAATATCAAGTTAGACATTAACACCGTTGAATGCCAGCTCAGTGGTCTAGAGGTTTAGTGTTCGCACGCAATACCGCAGATCACGCGTACGGGATCGGGCATGCAAACTGCTGGAAAGTCCCAGACCAGGACAAAACGGATTTCCAGGTCTTCATTTGTGGTTTAACATTAGTCAATTCATGGTCTCAATTAAAACAGAACTTCTTCCATTTTTTTCTATTTTACTTGGAAGAGGTACGAAAATAGTATGATAATGATTGTATATACACTCAAGACCATGCAAAGAATCAAATGTAGACTTTTTAATATAGCGGCAAGTTCGTTAATTATATGTTCCCGACAGTCTGCACTTCCGGATTCAGGCAATTGATAATATTAAGATGGCACCATTCTTTACTATTAGTAAAATATATCGCAATATTCTTGATTTAGTCCCAACGGTTACGTCATCTAAACAAAATCCTAAAAGCTGTTCTGAAACTAGGTCAATGACTAGTGACTTAAGAATGTTTTCGTATTATAATTCTAACTTGGTTGATCTATTTATTAGTGTTAACACATGCAGCGACGTGTTGAGAGGTAATGGCATGCACATATTCTAGATTTTTCAAACTGTTTAGGTTTACCTACAAAGAAATAGTAACAAAATGATTTTCCTGTCGAACTCTGAAAAACCTTTTCTCATAAAATCGCTTACAAGTCAAAATATTTGAATCACAAGTAAGATAAATGATTTAGATACATTTGCATTCGGAACTACTAATCATAACAATTCATTTCCTTGTTTTCAGAATCTAGCAAGAAAACGTGTTATAAACATTATCCTTGAATCAAAATGCGCTTTACTTTGAGGACTGAATCTATACCAGCTCAAACTTTATTGAGAAAGGTATGCTTGATTAACAAATATGTTTCCATACACTCCCGTACTGTTTACGCGCTAGCCTACAGGAGTAAATAAACTATTATTGAAAAACAATAAAAATATACTTTTTTTAATCAAATCCTCACTAAATTTTGTGTCATAAAAATATTTAGATTACTCAAAGAAATATGAATTAATCCCGTATGTTGCCGAAATGAACGAAACTTCAATGTCGAGTCATCTAGACTAGTGGCCACATTGCAACTTGGTCGATAGCATTCGATCTGCACTAAGAAGGACCTGACACACATGACACTGACCATCACCCAGTGATCAATCAGTTACAAAACTTCATTCCTAATTTATGCATTTTCGTTGAGCATCATTCATTCCTAACAGTAAAAATTTCAAACATGTTATTGTTCTGCTTTTAAACCATTCACTCTACAAATACCGTTTCCAAAAGTCGATTACTATTGTTAGAGGGATGAATTTTGTCTAGTCGATAACTAAACAAAATATGTAATTCGAAAACAATAAACAAGATGATACACCAGAGCCGATATTTCCAAAATTAGTAAAACTGACTACACAGACAATCACTGAGAGAAATTGCTGTCATACGATTTCAAGATAAAGTATGAACTGATCATATATAGTATCGGACAATACAAGCAACCAGATACTTTCTATACTCATCAACAATAGGATTAGATAATGGCATTAAAGTGACTAAGACAGACTCCTTAATTTAGTAACAACCATGTTATCTTACCATATTCTCAGGAATCCCTCGGTATCAAACGGTTGAAATCCTATGATGAAAATGTCACTTAGACGACCTGGTATGTCATGAGAGATAGAAAACCTCCAAAATATATCAAAAAGGTTTTTGTTGCCACTGAAGTTTCGTAAATGTCTCAAATACCTAAAGGAAACGCCTCAAACAAAATACAACTTAACACAAAGTAGTTGAAGTTTTCATACATAATATGATCAACCCCTGCGTATCCAGACGAATAAATAATTACCTCTAAAAACATACTCAATGGAATTTCCAGCAAAAATGGAGAAATGGACAGATCTTTTAAATAAGTAGGTTTTCTACTCCACGGGAAACAAACTTTTGGATATTTATATAACTATACTAAGGGAAGAATTATTAGAATATATGGCCTAAACATTATCGGCGAGGTTTGAGCTTTTTCGATTCAGTGTTTGTAAACCTAACCATTCATTCACGACAAAAACGTTAACGTATGTCACAAACGACGAATAAAGAAAAAATCATCTTGACACATGGATTTCATTAATGTTACACGTGAACAATCAAGACAATTTACCAATATTGCAACAATATTAAAGGCAGATTAATAAAACAAATAAGGTCAGAGTTTTTATTTAAAAATTGATTATGTATGTACACAAGAAATAACAATCCAGAAAAAAAGTGAGAAAATAATGGTTAGTGGGGGATTCGCATTACAAATGAACAAGTGTATTGATGCCAGGTAACAAAAGTGATATCAACTATGGAATATGACATCCAAATTGTTGTTTACTATTGCTGTTAACTATTTCGTCAGCTTCTTTCTATAATAAAATAAACACAATTCACTTTGAAAAATATAAAAATATACTACTGAGTGATATAAGTAGTTGAAAACAAGTTACAAAAATGAATTAAATGTTCGTATGATTTAAATGGATGCTTTGTACTCTTAATCTGAGATGCACTATTCGTGAATCTAAACTCAATTATTTACAAAAAAGTCGAATTATCCAAACTAGATTATTATCATATAAACAGGTGGAACAGAAACTGTATGACAAAATTTATCAAACGGATATTTACTCGTTTGAAAATTTAAATATTCAGTTGGTATTAGTTGGTTGAAATGGAGACTTTGAACATAGATTACGACTTAAGAGCTACTAACAACTTAGTCAAGTATAACTCATGCTGAATGACAGAAGTAGAAGCAATCAATAGGAAACCATGGACCTAGGATTCATGCTACTTGGCAATTTGCAATTAACGAAAAAACTTGTGACTATATGATAATATTGAGGTAATTTATTCAAGGTCTGAATAGACTAATAGAGATTGATCAATTGCAAACCTTAACATCAAAAACAGAAAGATACAAACCGTGACAAATAATGATAAGAGCTAATGTGTAACTGTTTCAATTGGACCGAAAGTGATGCCTTATTAAGTTAAAGAAATTTAATGATTATATTTCAAACACTACATCAATTAAACATGGTGTATGAGAGTAGATACGTAGTCACATAATGATAACAAAATATAAATGTAGGTTTAAAAATTTAATCACTTTCCAAGCAGTTTACAAACGTGACTACGTATGATATCCTACTAAAGTGTATAGATAAATAAAATTGTATCTGCTGAATTTACAACTGATTAATAAGAAAATTGCCAAATTGTTTTTTTTTCAAAAAAAAAACATTACTTATGAGTAATTATTACTTGACCACACAACTCCCATGTTTAATTTTACTGATTGATGTAATCACAACCCAATTGACGAACATTGAAGTCGTTACTTTTTCTTTGGTCTCTCCTAACCACTAATTGTTTATTGACAGTCTTATTACTTTATATGTAATACTGGAGAAGCATAGGACACCCATCAGGATTCACTAACGAATTTTGTCCTAAGCTCTTCTTCCAACTGTTATCAAGTGCTGTTCTTTTTTAATGTCTTGCTTCAATTCCCATCCCCATTTATCCTTTAGTCTGCCTCCTTTTCTTTCGACTGGGGGATTCCAAGTTAGGTCTTGTCTAGTGATGGAGTTTGATGGTTTCCGTAATGTGTCCTATCCATCTGCAGCGTCTTTTCCTAATGCCCTCTTCAGCGGCAAGTTGGTTTGTTCTCTCCCATAGTACGTTGTTTCTGATGGCATACGATTAATCGACCTGGATTATCTTGCGTAGACAGCTGTTTGATAGTAGTTGTCGTAATGCTTGAGGTCTCAACTCCGTACAATAGAGCTGTTTAAACGTTAGTGTTTAAAATTCTGACTATGATGTTGTCTGACAGTTGTCTTCAGTTCTATATGTTATTCACTTGTAGACGTACTGCCATCGCTTTGTCAATCTGTGTCTTCACATCTACTTTAGAACCCTCTTGTTTATCAATGACACTGCCCAGGCACGTGAAAGTTTCCACCTTTTTCAGTGCACCATCATGCTGAAGGAGGATCTATAAGGTTCTCCTATCCACGTTGTCAAATAATTTCTCGTAGTCAAGGAAGTTGATGTATGGTGACGAATTCCACTCAATTGACTGCTTAAGAATAATACGTAGTGTCGCGATTTGGTCCGTGCACGATCGATCCTTACGGAAACCAGCCTGTTGATCTCGAAGTTGGGTATCTATTGAATCTTTCATCCAGCTCAACACTATTCTGTTTGAAACTTTTCCTGGTACTGATAGTATTGTGATGCCTCTGTTGTTCTTGCAATTGTTGTAATCACTTTTCTTTGGCTTCTTAATGAGGTATCTTTCTTTCAAAATATAAGGTTTGGTTACAGTTGGAGAAAGTGAAAAACAACTGGTCACTCAATTGACGACTTGTAGTTTCATTGTTTATTTATCTGTTCTGTTACGTGAAAAACAGCTCATATATATAATTTTCGTTATGTTGTATTTACATACATGATATTTTGAAGTCGCCAAATATACCCAGTAAGTAGGTCAGGGTTGTTTTCACATTTAGCTCGGACGAGACAGTCCCATTGTGGTGTGTGCTACTGATGTCGACAGATATAAGTAGTATGTTTCATCAGTCGAAAGTGCAATGCCTGGCAGCAGATGGTTAATAAGATCTAAGAAACGAGAACGAGAACAGAGAATGATTGCTGTGGAAATGAAAGAACAGTGAAGTCTGAGCCGACTGATTGACATTTTGCGAATCAAGTATTTACTATGTGGTTCTAAGATTTTACTAAGACGCTCTGTAATTTTGTGTTCAAATACATTTGGTTGTCCCCGCTTGTGTTCTCGTTCACTATACCACCATCATTAAAGTAATTAATCAAACCAAAAATGAATCTTTATGAAAGATTAAGAGAAAACTTGGCGGTGACTGAAATAAAAATTAAGATCTCACTAAAAATGCAACGAAAACACGTATCCTAACATGAATTAACTTACACAGCTGCATTTTTTCCACTCAAAATTACATAAGGCATTGACATCGCTTCTAGTTTTTTATTCAGTTTGTTCACTGTTCCCAGTGGAGTATCTGAACTGGTGCTGGCTTTAAGAAGCTAAATCCATAATAGAAAGAAAAGAATATTTTATTATTTTCAAAAATTAAAATAGTGAAAACAACTTGAAAGACGAGATGTTACTTCGTAAAACAAATACTAAGTACATATACTTGAAATGACATTGAGGAAAATACGAACTTGGATTAAAAAATCAATCAATTCGATACTAAAGTTCCTCTTAAGCTGTGGCACAGAGAGATCCAACAAAATATATCACTTTATAATGACTCAGAATAATTAAAAAAACTTCAACATTTTAAACAGTAAGATGAAATAAAATCTAATATTTGAAGTTTCACATTACAGGCTAAATTTACTTAGATGCCCACTGAAACCAGGAAGCACTGAACATCTATTTCGTCCTACTATGTAACTACACCAAGGATCGAACTAAAGGCCTCCAAGCCTCTTGACAAGCGTCCAAACTTCAAAAAACTGAGCTGGGATCCAATTATATGCAAGTATTGTATGACCCATTATCCATTGCCATTAGTAATATTTGACTGACGACCGACATGGTTGAAATCCAATGCTTAATGCTTCTTAATAGAACTCTAAGAATTACCTCTTGAATTTAGTCCCTAGTCACCACAGAATGGTTGTTGAATTTGAAATTATCTTTGTAAACATCCCTGTTTTGAACAGCTTTTCTCTAAAGAAGTAAACTTTGCGGAAAAGTAGATACTTCGCTAGTTATAATATTTACAAAACTCCTGTCCTTAATAGCTAGTGATTTTTTACGGTTTTTAGCATAAAACGGTAAGAAACTTAAACATTTTTGACTATTTTATATATTAAGTGAAACGGATAGTCTACACCTTTACTATAACAATTAACAATATGTTATGGAGGTCTGTTGAAATCTAAGACTACTACAAAGTTGAGAGCGATGCTATGATTAATTTGTTGTTAGTCGACAAATTACTCCCCTCATATAAAATCTTTTAGTGTTCGGAGAATCACTAATCCAACTCGTTTCAGAATTTTTTATCGTTTGGCTATTTGAGAACAAGCTTTATTTTTAACAACTAATCTCGTATCTATATTCCAAGGTCATATAAACAGTATAAAACCAGTAAAACTGTTTGTATGATGACCTTTTCTAGAAACATTAAAAAGTCTCCTGTAAATCTCTTTCTTAATCTCCAGGGATCGTTGGGTATCTTTAATGTAGTTCTGTAATGAACAAACACGTATGTCGTAAAATATCATTATATCTCAACTATTTTAATATTTGGTTCGCTTTATAAAATTTCACTTAACCAACTTGCAAAGTTAAATGACGTAAATTTTCAATTTTTGGTGAAAAGCAATCCATAAGGGACTTTTACTAAAATTTGAATCTGGAAATAGATTCGTCAGCAAGTACAACTTAATTCCGAAAGTTGAAATACTAAAAACAAAATAGCAGTTGGATAAACTGGAATATTTATTTCTTATTCATATAATTCCGTTGAAAATCAACCGTCAACATCTTATGCACTTTAGTGTTCAAACACATAACACACACATTTTTTAATCGTGAATTTTTGTGCGAAAATAAGTTTCTCACTTAGTCTCACTACCGCTTTTATCTACCAACATTATAGAACATGACGATAGATCAAAAACTATTTTTCTTAAAATTTCTTAGTTCCGAAGAATATGTTGCTGTGAAATTCACTCACAACTGCCAGTTAGATATTTAACCAGTTATAAACAAATAGGAACCTGAAATAAATATACCTCGACAAAACTGCCATGTCTTACATCAGCACAGTCAGACATGAAATTAACAAGATGAAGAGCAAATGACTCAACTGAATGCCACACATCCAAGAGTCCATAACTTAAAATGCTGATACCATGCTTTTTGCCACACCTAGTCTTCAACCAACGTATTATCATGCATTTAGTGTAAAAAAACATGTTCGAAACCAAATCAGTGGACGAAAGTCCATAATATTATTACCCGATTTACTATCTCTACCTAGTATCTAATAGGTCACACCAACGTCGCGGTTAAACCATGTATATTTAGTGATAGGAATACAAGCGTAATCGAGTACCACCAATTTTATATCAAGTTACGAACAATATTACGAACTATTTAGAATAAAACTGAAAGTGGGTTGGATTATTTTAATATACGATTGTAAGTTTATAACAAAAAGTGAAGCAGTGAATTATTGACATTTCAATCAAATACCTTCTAAATTAGACCTTTAATTCATAGGTTCAGGGAATGATCCACTGAGGAAACCACTTACTTAGGCGTGAAAATATGAGGACAATCCCAGTGCACATATATATACACGAATATCGATGAATAATCACAAAATGTTCTACTCGTTCTGACTTATTGGTCCTATAAATGATATTTACAATCAATTAATTGTAAAACTACTAGCCTTGCAAGCAACAGATACAAATCTGTCTAGCTCAATTTGGTGGGTCAAATAGTATTAACGGTCATGATGTAAAAAAATCGCTTTAAATCGAATAGTAAAAAACCTGTAATTGGTAAACATGTTAGTTTAAATTAATAATTAATCCATAAACTTACAAACTCTTCATTGATTTTTTTCATACGTTTCTGTGTTTTATTCTTACCGGAACCCTTTCCATGAAATTTATGACTTAATTGACGAAAAGCTTCTTTAGCACTTAAATCGCGTCCTAGCTCATCAACGTATTCTAATTTAATATCCGGTTTATATTGCGTTAACTCTTTAAAATCTGATAATGGACCAGAGTAACGATCACGTTTGTAAAATTTCGCATCAATATCATCATAGCGTATATCTTCTTGGACAAAGTGTTTAGCCATTAGATTGACCATAGTTCCTGAACCAGTCTAGAAAAACAAAGATAAAAGGAATGGGTACAGATAATAAAAATGGTTAGCTTAAACAACAAATAGAGTTGAGCACTGTTGCGAATATAATATTATGCTTAAAAATTGAAGAGGAATTCGCATCGATTAAAGTGTAAGAAGTTAACTCACTCGTTTCTCTTTTTCTTTATCAATATAGCCTTTTTTCTCAGCCAACCGAATAGCTGAAAATACTCCTGAATCCAGACGTGGTTCATCATCTAAAACTCCATGTATATCAGTATTTTCTGCTTTAAAATGTTCCTGCCCAGATTTTTTGACTGTTGGTTTCGGTACTGTCCGAGTTGAATTCCCAAGAATATCATTACCGACAGTATGCCATCGATCGTCTAGAAATAAAAGAAATAAATTTGCTATTCCCGCCTCTATCTATACACATAGTTGACTTTAATGAGCGCTACTTAAGAAAAAATACTAAACGACAACATAGAAGCAACACCACAGAGAGAAATAAACTGTCAATCAGTAATTTAAAACTTGGGACCTGGCACATATATGTATCAGTTCAAGTTATCACAGCAGATTAGCACATCGGAATGAAACTCATAAGATAGATAGAAAAATAAAGTGAATTGATATAGCAACAATGATGTTGAGAAAAACTAAGTGTTAAGGAGAGAGTTCGAAACGACAGACTAGCAAAGTATATATGAAGAGGAACTGGAATTAACGATTGATAGAGAAAAAGAGTGGATATATCTGCACCCTTGTAAACGATTGAGCCATTTCATCCAAGGTCTCTAACCAATTGTTACAACAATTGTGTGGACCCAAAACAGGTAGTTTGAACTTATATACACATCAAATAGTCAATAACTTAATGGACTTACGTCACAACTTGGTTTGGCCACCCCTAGCTTTCTTTCAGCCTACTCCTATATCAAATAATATCGCGCACCGAGGTAGATGGTTGCAGGGTATAGGTAATATATGTATCCCAATTACTGTAATCAATGGACATGCAGTGCCTCGTCAAACGATACGCGACCCTTACCTAGTACCCTGCCTTAACTCAACATCGCGCAGTCAGTGGTCTCAACATACATCAGCAATGATTCGAAGGCATTTATCATCGAATACTAGTGAACTACGAATATCCCGTATTTTTAAAGGCCACATTTCATTACTATAAGGTAGACGAGAGTGAACTAATGAAGCTGGTAGACTGATACCTAACCTAAACCATAAGTGGCACAAGTTGGCAAAAATCATACGAGTTTTCTGCGTCCATACGTTTCATCAGATACCAACTCACTAGGGTTGATCAGACTCCCAAAACAAGTGAAGTGGTTGATGCACTCAACTACTTCACTCGCTATCATTAGCCCAGGGTTGACGCAGATCAGTCCTGAGGCACCATTTTGAATTTAGAGAAAGGAAATCCCATCTCAAACATCACCCAAGGCTATCACAAACTATTTTGTCGATATCTTCACCAACTAGAACTAGGTTATCAGGATATATTAAGTTAACAAGTGAATCTCTTGACATAAGATTGTTTCCTGAAAAGCAAGATGACGGTAGCGTTATCTCCAAAAGAAAAAACTGCAATCTACCCTCTATTGTTTTATTTGATGATCACACTTCTTTTCCAATGGCTGATACGTAAATTTTTTAAATATTTTAAAAAAATAAACTTTCATAGACGAAGTGGAAAATAGAAACTTACTTGATGCTTCCAACTTCGTATCGTCATAATTTGTATCATAGTCTTCACTTTTCATGCGATAACTACCTTCTGAATCATAATCAAGTTTTCGTTCTTCTTCTTCTTCCTCCTCTTTATACGGCAATCTTGTAGGTGATGAACTCGTATTATCATCATCATTAGTACCAACTGCTCCGCCATTATTCTGTAATCTAGACTGATTTTGTAAGAACTGATTGTAACGAGTATTTTTTTTCATACTTTCTTGAAAACCAATACCAATTGATTTATAAAATTCTGCAGTAGAGTCGAACACAACATTGTCTTTTTTGCTATTATTTGTCAATGTATCAGACGCAGGTGACTGTGACACGGATTCGGATGAATGAGTAGCTATATTTTTTGCTAAGAGTTGTGATGTAATCTTTTGAATGCAAAAAGTATAGTGAGAAGAGAATCAATCTTATCTTAGTTTATATGAAGTAATAGTTAAAAAATGGTTTTTAAACAGACATAGAAATTATTCAAGTGCTGTCATAGCTTAACAATGGATCATATCAATCGTGTTTAATCATGATCACACTGATTTTTAACCGTAATGTAATTCAGAAACACTTGAAAAGTCAATATACTTGGCATAAGTTTGGACACTATTAGCTTGTATTTAGCCTACTTTCTTAAGTCCCATTTATTCATTTTAATATTATACAATCTCTACATTTCACGAAAATGCTGTCATAAAAAAATCGACGTACTTCTTCCGGTTTAGAAACAACCCGTGACTTCGATTGCACGACTCGCCCTATAGTTTTCTCTAATTCACTTCTCAACTCATCTGGTTCATCGATGTGATCTGCTGCAGACCAATATTCCTCGTAACTATCTGAGTATAGGAGAAAAAGAAATTGCGAAACATACATTTGAAATAACCGATTATTTTAAAGCGATCAACAAGTGTTCTGTAGTTTATATTGTGACAAATTGAAACCTAGCATCAGAAAGTAATTATACACATATAATTTCGCTTGTGTAGTACCAACATGAGCTTGCAAGTTGACAAATAGCAAACTCATCCACTTCCAAAACGATAAAAATTATTTGAAAATAATAAACTTTTCCAAACTTTTAAGTTACTTACACGGGTTTTGGTCTTTTCCTCAGTGCTTTTTTGGAGTCGTTTCTTTCATCCATTACATGTGTGTGTAAACGACATATTAGTGTATGATTTGGGATTTTCCCTCACAACCGTTATTATTCTACAATTTTAGTTCTTTTGTCTAAAAGAGAAGCTGTTAGTATTTATAATACGCATCATTGCCATACCACTGGGTTATATTACTTTTCACACATGTGTAATCAAACTTCGTATAACTCAACTGTTTCGACTAATCGAAAACCGAATCCGTCACGCATTTGCTAACACAGAAGATAAGAAGGTTGGAGCAAGTAACAATAACAACTTTTTACATAAATAGCTATCAGCCTAGCCCTTCTATAGGTGGAGACTTAGATTTTTATCACTGTAGAATTACTTGCCCAAAAGTCTACTAAATGAATGATGTGTTAGGATTTGGAATTGTCAAATAATACTCTGCTATAAAAGTTATTTCAATTTAAGGTAATGATACAATTTTAAGTGTAGAAATATCTTCAGTACATAGTTGTGAAATAACAGTGTTGGTTTCGCAGTTGCAGTTGCATGGTAATAGTCGTTTTGATTTTTAGTCTAATTTTTATGACATTACAGGCTATTGAATGCTATAAATGTTTGTATTTTGACTATTTATGTTACAAAGTATAGCCTATAGGTTTTTCAGTTAGTTAAATAGATCCGAAATCATAACGATACTAAAATTCATAAGTTGAAAAGTAACATTTAGTATGAAATGTTCTTTAAATGTACTTATTAAACTATTAAGGTAACAAAACAGCAAAACATATAATACCTTTGACATCTATTATTTGTGCAGAAAATTCTTCAGCCGGAAACGTGTCATTTGCAGATGGGATGTTACTATTTAAGCGTTTTTCTCTAACTGTTGAACGGCTTCCTAAATCAGAAGACCCTGATTGTTCTGGCAATTCACTCACAAGTTCATCAGCAGTCAGTGCTTGACGAATAGTTTTGATACGACGTTTACGCTTTTTAAATTTCGCAGCCATTTCTTCAGTACTGTAGTACTCAGAAGCTATACGAAGCTCAGTATCAGGCAACGATTGCTGAAATGGGATTAAAATGATCTATTAACAAACAATGAAACATTTAAGATAAGTTAGTGATGCATCCAAACAAACATGGCAATATGTTAAACATGAGAAAAATTTATTAGTATGTACATGAATCTTGAATATATACTTACTCGTCCTTCTTTCAGTTCAGCTTGTAGTTGTTTCAATAAACGCTCATTCTCTGTATTATAAGAGCCATCAGAATTAATAACAAAGTGGTCTTTTTTAATGCCATTAATCTCTGAATCATACTTGCTTAGAACAGCTTTAGAGCGTAAACCAAGAAGTACATCCTCATCCACTTCGTCTTCAATTCCTGCCAGACCGGTAGTCTTTCTTATATTTTCTCTATTGACATCAGCTTTTTCATCATCAATTATATTTACATTCACTAAAACGTCTTCAGATTCATCCAAAACACCTAAATTAAAAGGCGAAAATTACAAATATTGAACCTATGATCGCTACAATGTTGATTAAAATAATGACACAGCGAGGTTAACATTTATGGGGATTGAAACAGATTTCGAATTACTCTCAGTAGAAATAAATTCCGAACCTCCAGTTCACCAATACAATGAAGTCAAGTTGCGGTGGTTTATAACGAGTATTTTTTACATGGTACTCATTCTCCAAGAAAAACACGATAGAAGTCAGTAAATTATTCTACACCCGTAATATAGCATAGATTTTAAGTATTTGAGAAATATTTACATCGATCGATACAAAGTAAACTATTATGGAACTCCAGAATGGTAAATAAAATAAGCAGAAGTCACTTGTAACACTAATCTGAATCACAACTTATCTGGAATTAAGACTGAAAAAATTGCAGTAAAAAGTATATCAGCAATAAAACAAAGTGGAACACAAGTTTTCGTAAAATATATTTACCACAGGTGGTGTATCAAACTAGATATTTAAATAGCTCTTCAAGATCATCCAAGATTCGGTCGATAGTGTTTTTGAATCATGTACCGGAACCACTGAGAGAGCAGTCGAGAAGCTATACAATATGTTCTAGATGAGGTGAACTAGTTAACGGTGTTATATGTATATAGTGACTGGGATAGTTTAGTCATGTGTTGGGCATGATAAGTCATCACTTACAGTAATACACGATACTTATTAGACTGAAATAAAGTTAGGGATGTCAATAAATCATTTCTTCTCTGCAAACCAATGCTCACCATAAATGAATATCAATCGTTATATATTTAAGTTGTTTCTGTTTTGGTAAGATCATATGAATATTTTTGTGTCAATCAACACTCATTTTAAAGAATCGATAGCTTCCTGAAATCTTAGTTTGACTGTTAGTATTTCTAACATCGTTTATACGCTCGAATGAATATACCGCATTCGTAAGGAACTATCTGGTGAAGTACATAAGTCAGTCATCTACAACGTAGGACCAGGCACATATATGCATCGATCCAAGTTCCCACACTTCATTAGCACAGCAAGGTGAACACCGGATTCATAGAAGTAGTTAATTCAATGCTGGTAATACATTAAAGAAAGACTGCATATAACGATATGGTACAGAAAGAAAGATATAAAGCGATTTTAATCTCATAGTTTAAGGGAACACAGAGAGTATATACACCTACACCACTATGATCGATTCTGAGCCATGTCACTCACAGTCTCCAACTATTGGTTACGATAGTCACGCGAACCCCTGAATGCCCTGGTACGGCCGAGAGTGGGGAGAGTCCGCTCTCCCTCTCGAAATACTCTCACACGGCCACGCGTATACAGCCTCTGCCAGGGAAGTCCTACTCATTGCCTTCTCGTGGCGGGGGTGTTGTTTACGAAAATGAGAGGACGAAAAGCGAATGTCCGGCGCTTTAACCGGATTCCAAATCAATGGTGCACATGGGCTCCAGTATCCTGCGGGAACGAATGGCGTATGAACCAATCGTTGGTCACCGGCTACCATGGGACTGCATCTCCTTACGATGCTCCACTGCCTTGTGGGTTAGACCTTTAGGTCAAAGGCTCGGGGAGTGGCCCCCTAAGATAACCACCTGCTTCGGTTTGGGCACCCGGGCAGTATCACAGCCCACACACAAATGATGAACTGTTTATGTCTATGGAAATTACTTTTGTCGCTTTGAAAAACAAACAATTGATTCAGATTATTATCATTACAATTATTGTCATTATTAATACTAATATTATTATTACTACTATTATTGTCATTATTGTTATTATTATCATTATTATTATTATTTTCCACATTATTCACCCTCTTTTATACTTATACGGCGGCTCGTCTTTGGTGGAATTCCGACTGTATCTAAACGTTCTCGAGTCACTGTCCGGTTGAAAATTGTATGTTACCACCGAATACGAGGACTGAAGCAGATTTTCTGAAACCACGTGCACCATTCAAACTGGCTGCCTTCAACGTTCGCACATTTATGCAGGTCGGACAACAGATAGGGCTGGCTATGTCTTTGGAAAGTCTTAATATCGACGTGTGTTGTCTATCCGAGACCCGTATTCAAGACTCTGGCGAAGTACTACAAATTCGATCTCCATCTGTCGCTTCGAAAAGCTTGTTTTACGTGCGCTTATCCGGGGACCCTGTGGCATCTTCGTCTGGTCTTGCTGGCGTTGGTGTCGCACTAAGCGCTAGAGCTGAGGCAGCACTAGTCGATTGGATCCCCATTAACAGTTGGTTATGTGCTGTTAGATTAGAAAGTTCCATCAAAGTGAGAAGAAATCGGCGTGAGAAACGATGTCTTTTCGTCATCTCCGCCTATGCCCCGACAGATTGCAGCCCGGATGCAATCAAGGATGAGTTTTACCACCAGTTATCAGTTCTTCTCCAGAAAGTGCGTTCGACAGATATTGTAGTACTAGCCGGAGACTTGAATGCTCAGGTCGGGCGTCTAGGCACAGAAGAGAGTCGTTTAGGTGGCCGATGGGGACTCGTTGGTCGCAGGTCAGATAACGGGGACCGTCTACTGCAACTTTGCACAGACCACAACCTGTTTCTGGCTAGCACTAACTTTCGGCACAGTCATCGCCGATGTGCCACCTGGCGTCCTCCCTCTGCATCTCAAGCCTGGACTCAGATTGATCACATCGCGATCAGCTACCGCTGGCGTGGTTGTGTACAAGACTGCCGCTCCTTTTGGAGTACCTATCTGGACTCTGACCATGCCTTGGTCTGCGCCAATCTTGCCTTACTTTTCAGTGGACAACGAAGTGAACGCCATCAACGGATTGATGTTAGCAAGCTGGTTGCAACCTCTGTTGCAAGTAAGTATCGAACCGAGCTAGCCTCTAGACTGTCCTGCCCTCCATGGCCGGTGACGACTGATCCACCAAATGAGGAGGAAGTCCGCAAGGAACTCCAACTCTTGAAGCGTTACAAATCACCTGGCCCAGATGACTTACCTCCGGCTCTTTTTAAAGATGGTGGTGACTTTTTGACTAAGGAATTGACGACGTTGTTTACAAAGGTTTGGGAACTAGAGAGTGTACCAACGTCATGGAATGAGTCGATAGTTGTCCCTATCTTTAAAAAGGGTTCACGTCGTTCTTGTAACAACTATCGGGGGATAAGTTTACTTCCGATTGCGTCCAAGCTATTGGCTTCCGTCATTCTTCGTAGGTTGTTCAAAACCCGAGAAAGATTGACTCGCGAGGAGCAGGCTGGGTTTCGTTCTGGTCGAGGATGTATTGATCATATCTTCACCCTCCGCCAAATGTTAGAACACCGCCATACTTTTCAAAGGCCAACAATCGTAGTGTTTCTTGACATCAGGGCTGCCTTCGATTCGTTGGATAGGACTGTTCTCTGGGATTGTCTATTGAAGAAGGGTGTGCCTGAGAAGTTTATTAACATCCTAAAAGCCCTGTATAAAAACACCTCAGGCAGAGTGAGGGCATACAACCACCTCTCTCCATTGTTCCATTCGAGCAGTGGGGTTAGGCAGGGTTGCCCAATCTCACCATTCCTCTTCAACTTTGCCATCGATGACATTCTGGAAACAGCTCTGATGAATGTAAGTAATGGTGGTGTGGATCTGTTGCCTGGAGAAAGACTTCTCGACCTTGAGTATGCGGGCGATATTGTCTTACTGTGCGATAATGCCCAAGGCATGCAATCCGCACTTAATCAGTTGGCAATCAGTGTCCGTAGGTATGGTATGTGCTTTGCACCTTCGAAGTGCAAAGTACTTCTACAAGACTGGCAGGATTCTAATCCTGTACTCACCCTGGACGGTGAGCAGATAGACGTAGTTGAGAAGTTCGTGTATCTGGGTAGCTGCATAAGTGCTGGTGGGGGTGTGAGTGATGAGATCGATCCACGAATAGTGAAAGCCAGAGCGGCTTATGCCAATCTGGGCCATCTTTGGCGCATTCGTGATGTTAGTCTGGCTGTAAAAGGCCGGATCTACAACGCGTCGGTGAGAGCAGTTTTGCTCTATGCTTGTGAAACCTGGCCTCTCCGAGTTGAGGACGTTAGACGACTCTCTGTGTTCGATCATCGCTGTCTCCGAAGGATTGCTGACATTCAGTGGCAACACCATGTTAGTAATGCAGAGGTTCGGCATCGTGTGTTCGGGCACAGAGATGATAACTCAATTGGTGTCACCATCTTGAAACACCGACTTCGGTGGCTTGGACATGTTCTCCGAATGTCGTCCCAGAGAATTCCACGTCGTGCATTATTTGCCGACTCTGGGACTGGTTGGAAGAAGCGGAGAGGTGGTCAGTATATGACATGGTGTCGTGGCATGAAAGAAAGCTGCAAAGGACTGGCTTGTGTTGGTCCTTCACGACTCCCTGGCTGGGGTCCGAGAGATGGTGCTACACAGTGGCTAGAGACGTTATCAGATATGGCTCAGAATAGAAGCCAGTGGCGATCCTGCTGTAACCTTCTTTTACTTTCTTCATAAAAAGTGGTTGTGTCTCCCTTACCTGAAAGATTTCTTCTGATTGTACCTCTTCGTCATTACTCTCTTTTTCTTTTGCGTTTCTTAGTTTTTTTTTTCTTTCTACTTCTCTTCGAATTCCCATTGTTTTGTGTGGCGCATATATATTGGCGCTCTCTTGTACCAATATTTATGTGTTCAAATAAAAATAAATAAATAAAATAACCCCAACCAAGTAGTCTGCATCTACCAACACGGCTCACAGTACAAGTTAGTGACTTTAAGCACTGAAGCCACGTTTGAGTTTGGCCAGCCCTAACTTTCTTCCAGCTGTTTCCAACACCAGTCACCATTGCGCGTCGTGGTAATCAGTGTTCAGGCATACGTAACACGTGACCCAACCATTTCAATCTATGAAGACTCACAACCTCATCAACTGATTTACCATCGTTCCCTAATACTCTGCGTCTAATCTCACTATTACTTACCCGGTGATCCCAGCAAATGCGAGCAGTACTTCTAAGGCATGTGTTATTTATTATTTATTTTAACACATAGATATTGGTACAAGGAGGCACTAAATACATATGCGCCACACAAATCTCATTCGATATGTGTGAGGGCTGTGATACTGCCCGGGTGCCCAAACCGAAGCAGGTGGTTATCTTAGGGGGCCACTCCCCGAGCCTTCGACCTGAAGGTCTGATCCACAAGGCAGTGGAGTATCGTAAGGAGATGCAGTCCCATGGAAGCCGGTGACCAACAATTGGTTCATACGCCATTTGTTCCCGCAGGATACTGGAGCCCATGTGTACCATTGGTTTGGAATCCGGTTAAAGCGCCGGACATTCGCTTTGTGTGTGGTTAAATACTAGTAGCTTACGAGTATCTTATACTCTCAATGGCCACGTTTCACAGCCGTAAAGTAGAACAGAACGAACTGCCGTGCAGTATACTCGTTCCTTAATTGATAGACGGATATCTCGCCTTCGCCATAAGTGACGTAAGTTGACAAAAGCCAAACGAGCTTTTCGAACCCGTGCTGAGATTTCGTCAGACACCAACCTATTAGGGCTGATCAGACTTCCAAGGTAAGTGAAGTTGTTAACGTGTCCGACTAATTCACTTTCTATCCTTAGTTCAGGAGTTGACACAGGCCAGTCCTGGAGCAACAACTTGCATTTAGAAAGGGAGAAGCGCATCCCGAACATTCAGGGATTGTTGCTCAGTGCTACCAAAACACTGCACTTTATCAGTGTCTTCATCGAACAGGACTATATCATCTGCCTATTCTAAGTCGATAAGTGGACATCCTGGTAGGAGATCAATGCCCGAAAATTCAGTCGACGAGAGCGTTATTTTCACCAGTAGGTCTATGATGAAGCCAAACGAAAAAGCCAAAACCCCCCTCCCGATTTTAACCTGAAACTACTGATGAACAAGAAATTGCTAATACGGATGTATTACATAGACCAAGTCAAAATGACTGCATCTATCTTGTATATATACTTCAGAAATAAAATAAATTACATTGTAGGTTAGTTTGAAGTGACGAGTTTCGTTCAGTTATTTTACATGGGGTCCAAATCTTACAAGCCTGGATAAGCGGTTAACATAAGACATGAAGGGAAAAAAGCGAGCTATCTTTCAGGGTGGTACTACTAGTAACACTTGATGGACTGAAAGCATGAGCTGTCTAACAAGCTCAGTGAAAATGTGGAGAAACTATAATTTATGGACAAACCAATCAGATTTACGATCACATGTCTTGAATTTCGGTGCGAAATTCATTCATTTGGCTAAATAGTTTTGTCATTATAGCTGATGTCAGTTCACAATAAAAACCCCAAATCTAAAGCCTAACCCCAACTATTAAACAAAAATATTAATCTTAATTCCTTACACTAGTTTATAACCCTCATTTAGCCGTAGTATGTAAGTGGACACTTTCAAGGTCTTTTTAGCTTCACTCAAAGGTCGTCCATAAATTAGTCTCACTAAAAATGTTTGAGTTTTTAGTAATCTGCTGAAAATAATAGTATTGGAACATTCCCAGATAGCAGATCTCCAAATGAGTATTTGTAGATTGCTCAATAAGTGCACAATTATGCTTGAGCTACACTTCGAGTGAAAGAAAGTGACATCACTAAGCTGTTAGGACCGAAACAGATTGAATGGGTCTTGAACTTGCAATTTCATGGCTGTAAGTCAAGCGCATTACAAAACAAATCACTCAAGGTGAGGACTATATTCATAGGCTAAAAACAGACTAATCCTTAAACTGAATTCCGCAACAAGCTAAAACCAAGATAGTGAACATGTTAAACGAAAACTACTACAGTGACCGATTCACAATTTATTATACAGATTTAAACCGTAAAAAGACAAAATGCGACAAGCAGTAATGACAAGCCGACAACCAAATATCACAATGACTTAATATATACATCGGATATCTGAACTCCAATCGAAATGATACAAGTAAATACATGTGAGCCAAAAACATTTACATGTAAAAGACTTTAGGAACTAAAACATTTCCAAGCAAACCTGAGTCTTTAATCGTCAAGATAACTGATTGACCGTCAACAAAACGGGATGAGCTGTGTTCAACGCGAAGACCGGCCAAATCATTGGGTTTGTACTTTTTACCATGTTGAATCAACCGTGACTCTACAAACTCAGAAACAGCCAACTGATCGTCAATCTCAGACAAGAGCTTTGCCTAGAAAAGCAATCAATATGAGCAAAGCCTGCATAGAACTTACTCTTTCTTCGGCTTGTTTCTGAATTCGTTCTTTCTCACGCATTTTCTCAACCCATGATTGAACATCCGATTCACATGCAGAAGGCGTGGACAGTTTTTCCTGCCCAATTTTATCTAACAGTGACCTTTTCTCTTTCAAGACATTTAGCTTTTCTTTGATTGCTTCTGATTCCCTTATTTTTCTGATATCTTTAGCTGGTGCATGGACGTAGCAATCGGCTTGGTTATCTACTGCTCGTTCTGATTTTGAAGTATCATCAGCATCCAGAGGAGCAAGACCCAATTTAGCCCGCAAAGCACTAGAAAAGTATATTAGTTTACCCTATATTTACTTTGTTTCCGCAACTGAGAGAGAAATATCAACACCAGTGCCTCCAGCTAAGCGTAAGTTGTAATAGGTTATACAAGTTTACTTACTATCACTAGGTGATTGATCATCTCGCCTGGTAGCAATCCTATCAGTAATCTGGTCCAGGGGAGAACGAGATCTATCACGGTTCTTGTGACGATGTTTTTTGTGCGATCGATGAGGTGAACCCCTAGTCATTCTGAGAACCTAATAATGGCGCCTTGACCTTCAAGGTCAAATATTCATAATCCACATCTCTCTACAAGTTTGACTTGACTTTCGACTTTTTGAATGTCTGTGTCTAGCCCTAAGGTACGTTGTATTCTATGGAAGTGTACGAAATGACGTATGTTAGAATTTAGATGAGAAAAAGTGAATCGTAACTTTGTAAGCCTGTAGAATGCACTTCTGTCTAGTGAGGCAGGTGGTTGGAAGCGATGAGCACTAATAAATGTGTAAAATAAAGATAATATAGTCGTCACAACCAAAGGCTGGTAGTGTAGGGTTTCGAATTAGGTGGTGTTTCATATTTAAAAATGTTCTATTTATTCACCGAATTTGTGAAATTTATGTATTTTGGGTCTTATTAAAGTACAACATGGAGCAAAAACGCTTCTGACGGCCCTTTCATTCGCCTTGAATTATTTGTAGTGTAAGCACTAAATAACACTTAGAATCGTATCACATGTGTTTTGGGTGTGTAGCAGCAAATCATTCGACAGAATAAACATTTCCATAAGTCTTCATTATTGCCGATCACAGTAGACTTACTGGACACACCCTACCTGAAGTTTCTCGGTCACGCATTTGCAACATACCACGCGTATAAACTTCGTACTATGACTTCATACTACATAGTTTAGATCAAATGTTTCTCGATATATCAATATTTTTGCAAATGTATCTTTAAACTCCTCCACTTAGGACTTCTGATTTGACTTGTTTAATATCCCCCAGTCAAATGGGTTTTACAGGCAAAAGCATTGTCAAATTCTAAATATCTGAAGCATTTTTGAGCGCAGGATGTAACCGCAACTGTAGGTGCAAACTTTCCATAGGTATATCAGTTCAAATATATTGTTGCTTATGAATTCAGTGGGAGTTGAATTACTTATACTGCTTATAATTAGCAGCGAATAACTGCTAGCTACGTATGTAATGGTAAAAAAGTCCCAAAACAAACGGTTTTGCGATCATTGTCCGAGACTGATGCTAACCTTGTTAGTTTTAGTTGACATTACTAGCTGACAGCCGAAAGACAAGTGTCAATACTAAATCTGGACAAAACTGGATGAGGAGCACTTTTCATATATTAGATAAATGGTTCAAAAATCTCACGTTCATCGACCCAAGCTTTCACAGAAATGCCTTTTCCTTCCAATAATCTTTTTCTTTGTTTTTATTCAGCTTAAAAGATATTAGATACTTTGAAACTAGAATTGTTTCATTCTGCAGTGTCGACGTATATTTACGTTGACATTCTATATATAGATCGTTATATGAGTGTATAATCTATGGACTGGCCTTATATGGGCGTTAGACGTTTCTCCGATGCACTTAAAAAGAGCGACATCTTCATATGTTTGAGGTTCAGTGATGATAAGCGAAGAAGACTCTGATCGATCTACATGTATAAAACTATTGTTGATCGTTGTGAGGAAGTACCAGATTTCCCAGTACATCTGATTAACTTATATACTATGTACCACCATCGGTCCCTGTTATGTCCTATTTGGCTCATCTGTGTTATTGTCTTTTCACAAGTGCATTAAAATCAGAGAACTGATAAGAACTGAAAAAAGACATCCAATACACAGATTTCTGGACTTTTCCACACGCTAAAGGCGGCTATATCTCAACGTACGGAGTCAAAATTCACGAACACTTAAAAAGATCAGACGCGCGAGATTTATAACCCTAAGTTTTGGCGTTTGACCAAGTTTGATATAGAGACAAACGTCCGAAAATAAAGGACATAGAAGTCACCTCTTTCTTACTATTGACCATTGTAGATGTGATTAGAAAAAAATGGGCAACAGCATTTGACCAAGCACAGGTAACATTTTTGCAACTCTCTGTAATCGGTAAACAAGACAACTCATTAGATTACTGAGCGTTCAATATCTTTATTTTCTTAGCAACTTGGATGATTGAACCCTGTTATTTAACAAGCATACTTGTAGTTTTTAGCTGATTCATATTGTCGTGTCTCTAGTACTGTTCTTTCATTGCGTTTTTTTACTACTACCATGTACCACATGACCCCTTATTTAATAAGAAAGAATGACCAAATGCTGATGAACACAACAAGTAATCAAAATATTGGTTATCAACGACAACCTCATCGGGTTTAACTTGCTGGCTGGCCACAAATTGGATTTATCACTGCCTGACTAGTGGGGATGAACTGTAGCGGTAAAAAATATCTAAAATAAATAATTCTATAGGCCTTCGACATGTGATGGTAACCGCCACAAATTTTGGGTGAACGTTAGTGTGATGATGTCTTTCAGAATAACGATGAAAGCTCCACGACCTAACCATCCAGGTCAGAGAACAGAACTCCATCAAAATCATACACCTGAGCTACAAATATTTACCATCTCACAATAATTTCAATAAACAAACCTAGCCAGAGGCACTCGGTCACGCGCCCGTACCAGATACATTTTTTGTCGTGCAACGTACCCCTTGCAACTGTTAACCAGCACAGACAAGACGCACCCAGACATATCATTAGACTTCGATTTACATCTTCAAACCACTTCTGATTGGACTAGGTCAACACAGTTCAATTATATAGGTGTTATATGTAAAGGCATTGCCAAGCTCCAAGTACTCGAAGCATCTTAATGTGCAAAAGTTTTACATTCATTCGATTTCAATTACACTTTTGTTTTATCTCCATCGAGCAAATATTGTCTGAAAAATCCTATGTACAATTTTATTAATTTCATAAAATCATTCCTGATTTTAGTAGACGTTGGTCTTTCTTACCATCCTAATCTGGCAAAAGATTGGCAAACATGGGCTGTGCGGGATACCTGCAAAGGATTTCATTTGTAGATGTGGTAGAGTGATTTAAGAATTCTGAAAATTTTCAACGACAAGGAAATTCCAATCTAACCTTGTATGTCACCTAGGAAATTTGCCGTAGCATATCAATAGTAAATCCTGTAAATCACTAGAGCAGATAGTCTTCGTTGGACGATTGTAGGTTGGACAAGAATGGCGTAATGAACCATCTGAATTTGAAGTCACAACACGCAATGTGGATTACTCTTTCGCTTTGTCAAAGTACTATGGCTGATTTGAGTATCGTATAACGTTAGCACAGAAATATGTTAGCAAGAGTAGTTACACGGAAGAGATCAACACCACTACCACATAGGCCAGTTCATGGAGTGAGATTAACTAATGTTCGTTGGTTGTTCTTGACCTTGAGGATGATCAGTGAACTGTTCGACTTTCGGTGACTTAACGGCTGGGTGGTTTGGTTGTGGACTAATGACATATCATGGGTTCATCATTCAATCGAGCAACTTCATCACCTAATAAAACATGTGATTCACTCATTTGAAAATTAAAACACTCATTCCCTATAAATATATAGTGACGTAGACGCAGATAAAATAACATATTTTATTTCGGTGGTTAGATATCGTGACTTTATTTCGGTGGTTTTTCCGGGTTAGAGAAATATCAATCATGAATTGAGAATTGAAATTTATTCTCTAGGTCACTTGAGTTCTCATGGTGAATTGATGTAACTCATTCAAAAGTTTACCTTATCAACATTTAGATCGTGATATCAGATTGTCACAATATCGCACTCACGTTGTTTTTTTTCTATAAGTTGCTTTCATCATTAAATGTAAGTATAATCCATGTGCTCACTGGGTCGTTAGCCTACTTTTACCGAAATTGTTTTTCCAATACACCCCTCATCGAAATCCTCCAGCAGATGTGGTATATAAAAACTGGAGAACCTCTCAAAAACTAAGCATTATAGCATATATTCACGCATTAGAAAACATCTTTATTCAGCGGGGATAACCTTAGTACTACTGTCGTATTGTTGAAGAAATGTGGCGAGTTAAAATAAAAATACTTCCTCTCACACGTAAGAACTGTTTAGGTTGTTTTAAGTTCACTTCATATTACATTACCACTCTTACGAATGACTGTAGTCACCTTTTCCCTGCTTCACCATTTTGCTGGTTGAATATAGTACAGTAACAACTGTTTAGTCTAAGGAATCGACGATACCAAATATAACTTTTAAAAACGCTATTATGTAAAACAAATTGACAAAATGAGAGAATCCCCAACTTAAAACTTGTCTAGCGTAAACATTGTTTCATTGAAAGAGAGCCTTTTAATGGTTTATTACATCATAAGTTCCTTTAAAAGCGAGTCTGAAAATTAATCTTCACCTGATCATAAGTTAGTTTTAACTAAATAATTGGAATTATGAACGATTACGCCAATATTGTTGAATATTTTTGGCCATCATTTCAGGTTTCTCTGCTTACTGTTGGTTTTTCATAGTCACAAAATACCTTGCTTTAATACAGGTGATAATGGTAATCGTTATACTAACTGTCACTCCGGATATCAGTCCTTATTCTTGTAGAACACATATTATTTATTTTGAGAATAAATGTTACTCTTAACCCTTATTCAAAAATGATATCAATTAGAAATCGTTTGTGACACTAGTTTTCATAACTAGAATCTGACCTCAGTGCAGGTACGGCCTTAAAGTATGTGAAACAAGAAAATTAAATTTATGCTTATTTGGAAATTTTAACTGATTAAAATCTAGATATAGTTTTATTTGCTATTTTTGATATAACTTTTCCCCCAGTACTTCGCAAGACCACTTTAAACACATCGTAATGATTTGTCTACGCAGTTATTTTAGTATTCTGCTACTAGTAACAATGCGCCTAATATTCATGTACCTGAACAGATAGATAAAAACATGTTGTCCACCTTTATTAGATTGTCTGAACTATGGGCTTCCAAACGTATACCGGAGGGATGATGTTGTTCAAGCCAGACCCAAATCAATTATATGCACTTAATTATCTATAAATCAAACCGTCCTATCAGCAGGTCATTTAAATGTAACATTAAATTCTATCTACCGGAGATAGTTAACTAAAGAGTTGATTTATAGCGGCAAACACGACAGTGTTTGTGAAACAAGTGTATAAGTAACTTTTTAAATATAA